TGCACGGGTTATGCACGGGTTATTGATGCTTTTTAAGATTGAAAAATGATGCTCATATTATACTCGAGATACATAAATAAATACAGTAATTGTATTGCAAAGCTATTTTTGAATGATTTCACTGATTATTACGTTTACCTGTAAGCATAAAGATGCATCAGCTTGATGTTGACAAATGTCACYTTTTCCTTCTTTGGTAGCTAAGTGCCAATCTGAGGCACATCCGTGTTTTTGAGATGGATGTGGAAGATGAGGACGATGAGGGAATCGACTCGCATAATGTCAGTGCTGACCAAGACGGGTTGGAAACCACTGTAATCAGCCAGGGGCCAGCAGAGGAGAGTGTGGAGTCTGAGGAAGAAGCTACAGAGCAAGAAAGAGATGTGTTTCAAAAAACTGTGGAGCATCTCAAGTCTGAGGAAGCTCTCTAACTCTTGTTTGACTCAAACTAAAACAACCCCCACCCCCCAGCTTCAGTTATGTTGAATTTTCTTTGTACTTATAAAACAGTTGACACTGACTTGTTGTGAGATGACAGTTCAACCATAACTTTATTGCTCTATAAAGAATGAAGTGTTTTGTACAGTGTTTGCCCATTTTTTTCAGTTGTACCAGGTTTAAARTATTTTATAAATGTAAAATGAATACCTTTTAATCACTTTTTCCCCTCAGTTCATGAAAACAATTATTAGTTAGTCTCCAAGTTTCTGAAGTCCAGGCCAAGTCAGAGCTGCCCTTAAAGAGGAACTTTTGCAGATAAACTGTGCCCTAAGGGTAATACCTTTCTATTTATGTCTAAAATTCAATAATTTGGTCTAAAAATTGTTTAAATCTATAATATTTGGTCTAAAAACATCCTTGTGCTGCTCTCTTTGGGTTATGGCTACTACATTTGAATTTCGTTATTTGTTCAAAACGTGCAGTATGACGCTGCTGGTACTGTGTGATGTCACACAGCACAGTGTTCAGTATAAAAACGTCTCAGTAGAGACACGCCCTGGAGAGATTCAGGAGTTAGCCATAGCATTGTTGATCGTTGCTGTGGTAGGAGCTGCCTTCTCCTCACCTACAGTGCAAAACATGGAGTTTATCAGTCATAAAACAAACTGAATTAACACATCCTCTTTGTGCTTCAAGGTTTTTTAAAAATAAAATTTTGATAGGGCCAAAATACACATGTACACAGTCCCCACGATGTAGTAAAAACGTGTATATATATACACACACACACACACAGCTCCACAGCTATTATTATAGATCATTGCCACAGCCTTGCTGTGTTCAGGAAAGAATGAAATGTGGAGAGATGAATCTCAGTGGCTCACCTTGCCATATGTCCTGCAAAAGCACATAAACAAGAACAGGTGTGTATTCACTGGAGGGGACAGCCGCAGACAGCAGGAGGAGGGAAAATTAACCATGGAGCAGCGATAAAAAAAAGACATGAATGTCAGCTGGATGTCTGTAATCAGCTCTTCAAACTGCTCCTGCTAATTTATCAAGCAGCTCCATTTACTGGACCGGACCGAACAGAAACAGTGACAGCTCCTGTCTTAGAACATTATATAGCTGTGAGGATTAAATTAAAACGGGATCACATCAAACAGTAATTAAAATATGCCTGGTTGGATTCGGATCACCATAGGTTTTTTTTTTTTTTAGTCCTGATCTAAACTCTATGTGACAGCAACTTTGTTTAAAAATTATATTCAACTAGAGAAATTGTAGTCGCCGGCAGTCATGTTGCTGTGACCATCATCGCAAATAGTCTCCATTTGTTTCCAGGTACACTAGGTTTAATGGTATAGTCAGTTTAAGCTTTGCATAATGGGTAGATTTTAAACAACTAAAATATAACCCAATAAAGTTTTTGCCTTTTCCCCACAAGTGAGTTAACAGGTTTCTTACCTTCCTTAGCTTGCTGGATCATCCTGGTATCCAATGACTGGAGAAATGCCATAACAWTTCTTGGAGCAACATCATTGGGCGACAGAACTGCAGAAGAATACATGGCTTATTATCACATGCAGTTTCTTCCCCCCGCCATTATTTTCTACTTACCGTCTTGCAGATCAACTTCCTTTTGATAAGATCCTCATGTGGCACATCAATTGGTAAACAGGACCCTGCAGATAGAAAATTTACTCATGTAAAGCTTTTGTTTCTTGAGAGACATTTTAACAGATCACAACTGAATTTCACCTCAGTGGATTACAGAAAAACAGAACTTTCACCACCACAACCCCTTAAGCTCTAAAACAATTCACCCCCACGCAAAAATAAATAACATTTTACAAACCTTGCCTGAGTACGGAAGCATAGAGCTGCCGCATGACATGAAATTATTTTGAAACTGGATCTCATTATGAGAAAACTATCTCYTTATAACGAAAAAACTATCTTCACAGAAGTTTATTGCCTGGATGGCGTGATGGAGAACACAACTGAACCACTATATAAAAAAAAACGAACAGAATTATTTGAGTTTGTGCTCAGATGTTGCAGCTAGTAGCACTTAATAATATTCACTCTCTAATCTGAATTTGGCCCCTATTATTTCGAAAACATTATTCAGTACTAACTTGTCATTTTTTTAGTCTAGAAATGTGTTCCTCTTTCAGATTTCTTCTTCATAAAAAGGCATATATTGAGACTCAGTCGGGTTCTCCATGACGCCATCCAGGCAATAAACTTCTGTGAAAGTGCCAAACCAGAAGAAACCATAATATGTTGTAACGAGATGGTTATCTTGATATAACAAGATTGTTTTCTCGTTTTTACAAGATACAGCGGGTAAAATAAGTATTGAACACGTCACCATTTTTCTCAGTACATATGTTACTAGAGGTGCTAACAGGGGCGGAGTGGGGAAATTTTTCAGCCCGGGAGTTTAATGGCCAAGAC